AATATGTATACTAAGCCTGAAGGTGGCGCTTTCCTACGGCAGCCATCTTGGATGGTACACATACACAACTCTGCATTGCTCCGCCATCTTGTCAGCACTCTAGTTGTTTAATAGCTCTATGAGATAGATGGAATCCTAATTCGAAAAAAAAGAAATCGAGTATGGGACGCCAATTAAATTAGGTATGGTGCGCACTAAGTGCAATAAAGAGGGAGTAACCTAAAATTAGGGCCTGGAACCCAGGCTAAGTGTAATGTTATGTTTTTTGGTAGACGGCATAATTATACATGACGTCACCATATACAAGCCACTCCCCCTCGGCTGAACCCGCAGCAACTACCGTGGTGGAAGGGCGGCTCAGCTGGACAAGGCTATACGCACAGCGGCTGTGTATATAAGGATAGAACAGATCTTATATGCACAGCTTTTTTAATCATGTGATACTATGGTGTGCTGCAATTGGTTGCTTGTCGCTGTGCATATAACAAAACCACTTTTATTGTATATACAGCCGCTGTACGTATAGCCAGTCCCGCTCAGCTCCATGAATGAAAGGTGTGTTCAAAAATTGGGTATAGCGCGCAATGAGCGCAAAAAAGATTATGTTTTAGGGAATTCACTGAGAACCAAACTTATGGCATCGAACACAGGCCATGATTGTAAACTGTGCATGCAAACAAGAAACGAGACCAACTTAGCATGAGAGTGTGCTTGTTACTGTCACTCGAGACTACCTGAGATCACCCGAGGACTAAATTATAGGCTAGTCAGTAAATCGCTCAACTTACAAGTTTATTTGGCATCAACAACAGTCAAGGTTAATGATCAATTTATTAGTCAGATGGTCAAACGAGTGAGTCTTAAGTTATCCACAAATGTTCATTTAAAACATCTTAACGAAAATTTATGTTTATGTTAGAGCAACTTAGAACGTAAATATGTTGTGGCGTTAAAGCATGTTAAAGTTACAGCATGAGTAATATTCGTAGATGATGCGTCACATACACGGCCATATTTAAAAAACTTGGACAATAATTGTCATTAAAATTCAATATTTCGTGGCCACACAAAAACACTATTCATATTCTTTTATTTTTATAACAGTGGCACACGTTTGACAATACCAGTACCTAACGGTGCATCCAAAGATTAACCATCAATA